TTGCCCATATTGCAGGCCAGCTGGGGTTCCAGGATTACCCACGGAACAGGAACTGAAGGAAGCTCTGTAAAATCCTAGGGAAGGTTTTCGCCATCCCTTTCTCGCTTCACTACTTGTTATGGTTGAATTGTGTTCCCTCCCCCAAATTCCCATGTTGAATCCTGACCCCCCCGTACCTCGCAGTGTGACCTCATTTGGAAACTGCTGCAGATGTAAGGAGTTCAGAGGAGGTCATACCAAAGCAGGAAGGTCCTTAATCCCATAGGACTGGTATGTTGTTAGAAAAGGGGGACACGTGGAGACACACACCCCATGGGGAGGACACCACATGGAGAAGAAGGCAGGGATTTGGGAGACGTGTCTACAGCCCCAAATGCCAAGGACAGCCAGTAAGCCACCAGAAGCTGGGGAGGACCCTGGAGCAGAGGCTCCCCAGAGCTTCAGGAGGAGGCCACCTGCCAGCACCTTGATCCTGGACTTCAAACCTCCAGAACCCAGAGACGGTCGTGCCTCTTGTTTAAACCTTGACACCTGTGACCACTGTTAGGCAGCCCCAGCACAGGAAGGTGGGGGAGCAGCCCCAGCACAGGAAGGCGGGGGAGCAGCCCTCTTCTTCGTCCACTAGTCCTGAGCTTGGTGCTCCTGGGACCCGGGATGGAGAGAGGGAAATGAGCAGTCGAGAGAAGATGGAAGGTTGCAGAGAGAAAGACCTGGGAGAAAGGAGATGAGGCAGGAAGCACAGACACAGGACTGTCCAGTGAGAGGCACTTGGGGGCAAAGGGAAGAAGACACGGAAGGGGAGTTTGAGGGGGATTCCTGTGTGTGTGCAGCATCTTTTTCTTCTTTAATTTTTATTTTTTTAATTAGTTACACTTGACAGCAGGGTGCATTTATGCTCTCTGCTCTATCATACATAGGTGGGTATAATTTCTCATTTTTCTGAGTGTACGTGTTGCAGAATCACATCAGTCATGCTGTCACACACGCACATAAGGTAACAAGGTCTGTTTCCTTCTACTGTCCCTCCTGTGCCCACATCCCCTCCCCTGATTTCCTTCTTGTTTCTCCAAGAAACCTTCAGTAAAAAGACTGAACTTCGATGCTTATGCAGTCAGCAGTGTGTGTGTATAAACAAGAGCTGTGAGCTTGTGAGTGTGTGTGTGCGGGCGTGTGTGCACATCTGTGAATACCTCTATGTGTGAGACTAGGCCGACCTCACCCTCCTGACAAAAACCTACTGGCAAAGTGGCTGCGCACCCCCCCCCCACCGAGTGTGGGTACAGCTCCCTGCAGGCCTGGCCCTTGTCCAGCTGCAAGAGTCCCCAAAGCCAGTGCCTTTGGTCAGAACACTGTTGAAGGAGTGGAGAGTTGTTAAAATGTTTAAGAGGTAAAATAGGAGGAACTGGTGACTGTCACATGAGAGATGAAGGGACATAGAAATATTCATTCCCTCCCTTGACAGAGGTTGCTCCCAAGACCCTCCTGCGCTCCATCTCCTTGCCAGGCCGCACTGCAGTCCGAATGTGTGAGTTCCCCCAATTTTGTATGTTGAGATCGAATCCCCCAATGTGACACTGTTAGAACCTTTGGGAGGTGACTAGGTCTGAGGGTGACGCCATGGTGAATGAGATGTGTGCTCTTATGAAAAAGACCCCAGAGACCTGCCTCTCCCTGTCTGCCTCATGAGGACACAGTGTGTAGGTGGCATCCAGAGCCAGGTGGGCCTTCCCTAGACCAGGTCTGCTAGCCGCTGGATCGTGCCATCCAGCCTCCAGAACTGAGAGGCCTTGCCAGAGCAGCCGTGCTGCTGATCGGGGCCAGACACGTCCGTGTCCACAATGTCAGAATATCAGCAAATGCACAGGGGCAGTTCACTGGACACTCGTGCGTCACCTGGTAGTTGTAAGCCAGGAAAACGCTGTTCTTTTATTTCAAACTATAACACTCAAGTCACACATCACCCTTCACAGAATGATACGTAATAGGTCACAGAACACTAAGAAGGGGTTAAGGTGGCCTCGGGGCCACAGATGCTGAGCCGGGGCACAGGCAGACAGAGAAATGATGGCAAAGACTCACTGTGGCCGGGAGGGTTTGAACAAACCTCTTCTACAGACTGTCAAAGCAGAGGGTCCAGGTGGAGGGCAGGGTACATTTCAGGGTCAGCTTGAGGTGTCAGCGTGGGGTGGGCCATGCATGGTGTCACCCCAGGGGAAACTGTGCTCAGCTGAAGCCTGATGGGAACAGGAAACTGAGGGGTCATCGCTGTGGCAATTGTCCTGGACAAGGTTCCTGATGAGTGACCAGGTGACAGGGTCAGGGTGCCACTTTGTCTAGTCTCAGGTGGCTCCTCCTTGTATGGGTCTTAAGTGAGGGGGTCGCATCTGGTGAGGTTGATAAGCTCCCTCGTCTGATGTGATTTGGGATGTCCTGATTCAGTTTGATAAGTTGGCACATATTAGTTATTTATCAGTTTATGGGGGTGCCGGCAGCTGGTGGCTGTGGACGTGTACGACAGGGTGTGGCGTGGCCTCCCTTGGCCCCTGTACTCAAGATGCAGCAGCTCAGGGCCAGCTGCTGCTTACAGAGTGGGGTGACTCAGGGTGAGGCCCAGCCTGAAGACCGCTGCTCTGTTCGCCATGGAGTAGCTCAGGGCTGGGCAGGCCGGCTGTCCACAGACATCAATTCCTATTGTTTAAAAGCAAGCAGGGTGTGGGGCCCTAACAGGCAGACAGGCCTGCTTCCTGGGGACCGATTTAGAGGCTAAATCACTGAGTCTCCAGCAGGAGGGTGGCAGCATGGTGAGCTGGACCAGAACAGGATGCAGTGTCCATGTTCTGCATCAGTCCCCAGCCCCAGAAAATTCAGATAAAAACAAGACGGTGCTAATCCCAGGGGGAATGTAGGAGAAGGGACACCTGTGTCAGCGGGTGGCCGAGTGAGTTATCAGTCAGGCAAACGTTGCTGGCTCAGAGCTGTGGCTGTGCTACTGCCACAGGCCAGGTCTGCACGGAGCCTGGGAGACGTGCTGAGGCTGGTCGGAGGCCTGGCCCTGCTTGCTCCCTTAGCAACCCCGAGAGCCTGAGGCTGGGGTTTAACTAGAGAGGTGCAAGGGGTACCCTGGCAGTGCCCGGGTCCCTTTGAGGACGGAGCTTCTCATTCATGCGGGGGCAGGTGACTGAGAGAGGAACCTTCATCCAAGGTCGGGCTCCTCCCTGGGGCCCCTGCATCCGAGCCCGTGTCCCCTCCCCAGCGGGGCCAATAATAATAGAGAAAGAAACCGAAGAGAAGGAGCCCGTGGGCCTGGGAAACTGACGTCAACTGAATAAGGGGGACAGGTGACAAGGGACGGCAGAAGAGGGAGGGCCATGACCAGGGGATAAGCCTCTCTGGGGCTGTGGGGGAGGAAGGGAGGTGGTGATGCTGTCACCCACCGTCCCTGAGGAGCAAGAGCAGGTGGCCTGTTTGTCTGTGGGAAGCCTGCATCTCTCCTGCCTCAGTGTGCTGTGAGTGGAGTCGAGCCTCGGCCTCCTGGGCTGGAGTCCGAGGCCTGGGGTGTGGGGTTGCCCCTGGACTTGGGAGGGAGAGGAGTCCACCCTGCAGTTGAGGGGCTGCACGGGCTGTTGCACATGCACCTGCCAGGGCCCTGCCGCCCTCCCTCTCCATCTCAGGGAGCTCCTCCTCCCTGGGAGGACACAGTCACCAAGTGCATGCTTCCAGGCTCAGGAACTCGGCGGGGCTTGGAGAGTTCTAGCTCTCAGAAAGGAATTCCTGAACCTTCCATGGGCACAGATCTCCCTCGGTACCTTCTTCCTAACCCACCTAACCACGTCCTGAAAGATGTGATCAGCTGAAAAAGAGACTGCGTTCCAAATAGACTTTTCCAGCTCCGAAGGTCCCCTGCTGGCTCCTGCTAGCAGATTGGAGAGACAGACTTGGAGAACCCCGGGGCCAGCACCCTGCCTGCCACAGAGCACTAGGGGAGAAGCTGGTGTCAAGGCCATGAGCTGCCACTCAGCTGTGGCTCTGTAGCAAGGTGGTCACGGTGTCCAGGGGCTTTCTCCACCATTCCCACCCAGACCCTTCTCTGGAACTTGAATTGTGCTCACCATTCAGCTCAAGAGCAGTGGAACTGTACAGGACGCCTGCTGTCAGAGGGACCCAGTCATGTTCCAGGCCTCGGAGAAGTCAGAGTTCAGGGGGCTTTGAAGTGTGGTTGTGTGTGTGTTGTGTATATACGGCATGTGTGTAGGTGTGTTGTGTGTATGATGGGTGTATGGTGTCTGTGTGTATGTGCATGTGTGTGTGTGCTGCTTGTGTGTGGGGAGTATCGGTGTGTGTATTGTGTGTGTGGTTTGTGTAGTGGGTACATATGTCCTGTGTGTGGTAGATATGTGTTTGCATGCTGTGTATATATTTGTGGTGTGTGTATATGGCATGTGTGCTGTGGTATGGTGTGTGTCTGATGTCTATGAGTACTTGTACAGTATGTGTGTGCAGTGGGTGTGTGCACTGTGTGTGTGGGTGTGCAGTGGGTGTGTGCACTGTGTGTGTGGGTATGCCGTGGGTGTGAGCATTCTGTGTGTGGGTGTGCAGTGGGTGTGTGGGTGTGTGTGTGGTGTGGGTGGGGAGCTTCAGAGCTCCTTCTAGAGAGGCAGGACTGGCCTGACCGTGCTGTGACATGGGCCACTTGCAAGTCACTCCCCGTTGGGTGATGTTAGGAACACACCACTGTGACAGAGTGTCAGACGCCTTTGAACCACCCTTCACCACATCCTCGGTCTTATTTAGAGCCTGAGTTTTCATTCTCTAACTTGTTTCTCCCGCTGTTCAATTTAAATATGTCTCTTTGTGTACTTTCTAAAATATGTATTTCCCAAACCAAAATCATGAAACATATTTAGAAATAACATTATTTTTATGACTTATGAATTTATTTATGAGAAGTTTTACAAGCATTCAAGAAATTCAGCTACTGATGTTTCACAAAGTGACTTTATTGGGAAAAGCAAGATCAGAGGGAACCCCGGGGATTCTGGGAAATCCCAGCAGGTGACCTGCAGGTTGGGGAGATGCCGGCGGGTAGCTCTGGGCAGAAAGCAGTGGGTTCCTCCTACATCTCTGTGGCCTTGGTTTCAGAGAATGAGGAAGAAGGGAGGGGGGAACTGAGACAGCAAGGGGGAGAGAGGAAAGAAGGCAGGGAGCCAGGGAGGGAGGAAGATGGCCGTGAGCTGGTAGGGGACGGGCAGGCCGTGGTGCCAAGGGCTGGGTGGTGCTGCCTGGCGAGAGGGTGGCCAGGCTCTGGCCCTCTCAGATGGCTCCCTCTCACCGAGCTCCAGGGTGGCTGGCGATGGTGGGTGGGAGGCCTGTTATCCTAGCTGCACGGTTCTTCTGTGGACACTGAGCGTGTTCCAGACCCGTGCCCCTCGTCCTTCTTTCCCTGGGGTGTCTCAGCCAACAGTGTGAGAGTGAGGGAAGCAAGGCCTGTTGCCAAGGAGAACGTGTTCCTGGACCCCACCTGGTGAGCACACAGTGGGCAGGTGCAGAAAGCAGGGACAATTGCTGGTCACTCTTCACAGAGCCCCCACCACCACCGCCACAGAGGTGGACGCAGTGTTGGGAGTTAAAGACGGAGCGGCTGAGCACAAAGGCCATGTGGCCCCTTTGAAAATAAGAAACCAATCTTAACCATGTTTCCCTCCCCAGCAAGGCAGGGTCCCGGCACAGACACCTCTAAAGATGCCTGCTGTCGGGGTGAGAGCGATGCTTGAGTCTGCCCCTCGCCCGCTGGATCCTGTGAAATGCTTCTCTCGGTTCCACAAATTCCAGGCTGCCTCTGTGGCAGCGGGAAAGGCCTGGAGAACAAAGCTCCCAACCGGAGGGGCACCTCCTAGGAGACTGGGTTCTCAGAGCCGGTCCCCTAAACAGTCTCTCCTTTAACCTAAGGGAGGTACTAGTAAGATGAAAGTGGAGGTTTCTGCATCACAAAGATGTCTCCTTCTGATAACAGCAGATCAGGGATTCGTGTCCAGTACTTGAGGGCCAGCATGCAGCCTGCATGAAGGTCACATTCATTTATCTCGTTATTCATTTAATAAATACATACTTATCACCTACCAGGTGCGGACAGTGGGAATGTAACAGTGAGCAATGGCACACTCACAACACAAGCATCATGTGGAGAGAAGACACACTTACCGAGCAGACCTACCATGGCTACTTAGGGCAGGACAGCGACTCACCCCATAGGAAGGGTCTTCTCACAGACAGCAAGAGAACGTTCTGGAGAAATCTGTAAACACTGATTCCAAAGAGGTACACCTGGAGACAGAGGTAGAAGAGTTGATGGACAGCTGAGTTTTGGGGAGAGCATTGTTACACTGGAAACATAAAATATATTTCCATGTCTAGAACATTCCAGTTGCCATTGAACGCCTAGAGCACTGTTCGTCGCTTTCTTTTTCTTTCTTTCTTTTTCTTTCTTTCCTTTTCTTTTCTTTCTTTTGTTTTTTCAAGCCTTGGAGTACTATAAATTTTCACTGATGGAGAGCACTGTTGTCTCCGTGAGGATCAAGTAGAAACGGACCCTCAGCATGGTCTAGTCCAACATCCTATCGTTCTGCTAGGAGCACATTGAGGCCCAGAGTCATTAGAAGACACAGAGGCTCACAAAACTACGTAGTGGCAGAAGAGGGCCTGAGACTCTTGTACCCTGGCTCTGAGTCCAGGTGGGCGTGTTTAAGACTGTCACTCTGCCGCAAAGAACCACCGTGGACCCTGCAGGAATGGCTCTCAGAAAGGGCACTGGCTTTAGTTGGGCTCAAAGGACTCTCACCTGTCCATGCTGAAGGAAAGACAGGATTCCTATGGTCCTGCATGAGGACTGGGACGTCGCAGGCCAACCTTGTCTCCTTGAGAATCCTCTCTGGTGTGTCCAGTGAGGCAGGAAGAGCAGCTGTCCTCCTGCCCCAGTCAGCTCTCTGGGTCTTGAAGCCTACAGACTTGACTGAGCTCAAGGGCAACCATTTCTGATCTACACAATGGTGACTTACAGACGTGCTGGGCCCTCTGCGTGACCTCTTTCTTACCAGGAGAACCTACTCAAATGTGCTCTGAGTACTCAACGTTTTACACTCAGTCTAAGTTTTCCATATTGGATTCCACTGTTGTAATGAGTCATGTTCATGGAAAACGGTGCACTTAATGGTTGGAAAAAAACACATTTGGAAGGCATTTGGTGCTCAGCAGGTGTAGGAGGAGGTGCCCACTGACTGTTGCAGGTAAAGGGAAAAGATAGCTTTATTGTCCCTAATGGATGTGGCAATTTGCTTCTTCTAGTCAACAATCAATGTGAATTAGTTGCCTATAACAACCGCCAGCTATGGAATTAATTCTTGGTTGTGAGTACTTATCTGCTAAGTGGAAAATACCTATTAGCATGAATATTCAAACGACACCACAGGCCATTAAAACTCCATTTGTTCTACAAACAGAGCACTTGACGATTTGGGAGAACTGGCTTCTCTTAAGGAGCATCAACAACAGAAACTTCTGACTCTTCACAGTTAGTCTTTTCAGCCCAAAGTAAGAGGAAGGATTGTATTCATCTACCGGAAGAGGACGGGGGACTGGAATGTCTATTTCTTTTGGATTTTGACTTCCTGGTAGCAGTCTCTGGGGTCAGGGACTTAATGGAGCAGTCACTTGGAGCTGGGCTGGGACCACCAGAGTGTTTCTCCGACTGTGCCAAGGTTTTTATAGCTCCAAAAATTACCTCTGCCAGCAGAACCTCTGTGCACAGGAAATTTATCGCCTGCCAGCAGGTTTAGACGGCAAGAAGATTGAATAAGAGAAATTAAACTTGGAAACCCCTGGGAAAGGGCCCGATTTCTCGAGGGAGCTCTGAGGCCGTGACCACTGAGGCCTTTCCATCTGCCTCTGACTAATGTGCCTTGTTCTGGGAGGCGCCTGTGAAGGAAACCAGGGAGAAAGGAGAAAGGATGGGGGGGTGACGGCCAGGGCATGAATGGGGTCGGCCACAGGCACTCCTATCCAGGTCCCAGGGAGAGGGACTTGCCCCATCTTTGGGGGCCAATGTGTGAGCTAATGAAGTGTGGGGGACACACGGGACTTCACCTGCAGGCCACTCTGAAGGCAGGCATGACGAGGAAGCAGGGGGGTTTGGAATTCCTTCTTCACAATTTAGACTGTGGCCAACTCCGGAGGCCTCTCATCTTCTCAAATACATGCAACTGATCCACTGTCGTACTTTCTCAAGAAAGTTTCATACTGATATGTCACGGGAACCAGCCCCATGATCATAATGACAACCACCAGTCGTGTGCAGGGGCTGATGTGTGGCTCCTGCGCTGCCTCCATGTCACAGGTGGGACTCTCCACACTGAGGATGGGGAACTGGGGCTAAGAGAAGGGAAGTGACTTCCCCAGGGCCAAGACAATGACCTAGCTTGAACTTTAGTCTTCCTCCAAAGAGAGGGGTCTCTTTTCTTGTCAAATGTACTCTAGTATCCTGGAAAATAGGAAAGGAATTGTACTGTTATGTGATTGATTCTTGCTAGGGAAGATGGCACCCACAGGAGTAAAAGTACAGGTCAAGGATCCTGTGGATAAAGGGAGCTGAAGAATCAATAAACTTTCATTGTTGATAAATACCCACATCTGTGGTATTTTGTTATAGCAGCACGAAGTGGGCTGACACAGTACTCCTGCTTCATTCAAGTATTTATCTTCAGGTTTCTATTTTTATTTGCGAATATTAACAATTCCAGAACTCTACCAAGGGCCACCTTCTAGCCACCATGCAGGGAATTTCGAAACATTAGCTTAGTGTGTTGGTTAGATTTCCATTGCTGTGACAACATACCTGCGATAATCAACTTAAAAGGAGGAAAGGTTTATTGGAGTTCACGGATTCAAAGGTTTTAATCTATGGTTGCTTGGCCCATTGCCCTGTGGGGGCTTTTGCAAGGCAGACATCATGGTGAGCACATAGCAGAAGAAGTCTCATGGCAGCTGGGAGCAAAGAGAGACACAAAGGGGCCAGGGTCTCAGTATTTCCTTCAGGGGCACACCCCCATATTCTAACTTCCTCCCACAAGCCCCACCTCCTACACCTTCTGCCACCTCCCAACAGTGCCAGGGGCTGGGGACAATCCTGTAGTACGTGACTTAAGATCCAAATCGTATACTGGGGGTGGGGGGACGTGGGTGACGCCAACACAGAGACGCACCTGCTGGTGCAGCTCCGACTCCTTAACAAACCCCGCTGGAATGTGAGGGCAGCACCCCAGCCTTTCTCTGCCACGTGGTGGGAGCCTGTGGGCGTGGCCCTGTGGACAGAGGGCCTTGGCAGAGGTAGTTCAGATAGGGAACGCGGGGTGACGTCATCGGGATTCGGGGTGGGCCCTGAGTGCGCTGACCCCTATCCAAGAGCAAGACAGAGGGAGATCTGAGAGGCGCAGAGGAGGCCGCCCAAAACTGGGCTCTGGCGCTGGAGGGAAGCGCCCACGAGCCCCGGGAGTGGGCCCTGCCTATGTCCTGCGCTCCTGGCCTCTGGAACTAGGGAAGAATGACACGTGCTGTTGTGAGCCACCTCCCTGGTCTTGGGGCCAGCGGAGAACACCCCTGACCACCTCAGCTTCCCCTCAGCGCGGGGGACCTGCCTGCCACCAGGGCACGGACCTTGTGTCTTGACAGTTTGTGGTTTTAGAAACCGCACCTGAACACGCAGGTCTCAGCCTCTCCAAAGCTGGTGGACATGGATTTCCCAAACATAGCAGCTGGCAGAACAGTGCGCCTTCAGGCCTGGACCTTAGGAACCTGTGGGGGACATCAGAGCCCCGTAGCAGTCACAGGCTGGAAAGAGGCAGACGACACAGAGGCCACCACTGGACACCGTGTGTCTGGCACGCTGCACCCACGTCACCCATTTCCCCAAGAGCTGGTGCCTGTGGCTCCTCTGAGGTCCTAATGACTCACCCGCTGGCCATCTCGGATGTGCAGTCGAGGCCTTGAGCACAGATCCAGGTCCCTGGGAGACCCTGCGGGGACTCTGGGAGGTTTTCCTAATGAGACGCTGCAGAACACACAGCCCTGACCGGCGCTCGTCCTTCCTGTGACGCTGCCCCACAAACTCAGTTCAAGGGCATTTCTGTTTATCCACAGACCATCACCAGGACTTGGGGGAAGTAATTTAAAGGAGCAGCTATGAGCTCGCGGCAGAAAATAAAGAATAGAATAAAGTAAGCCAGCACTTCCTGGCTCTGAGCTACCTGGAGCCAAGAGCACTTCAGGCTGCTGAGGTTTCCTTCAGTCCGACGTTGATTGTGTGTGCTTCCCAGTGGTGGCAGGTCACAGAGGAAGGCCTTCAGGTCAGGAGAGCTCTGGGTGTTCAGCTATACCTCCCTGCCTCGGCGGGCTGCCCCAGGACAGAGACACTGAGGATTGAGACGGAGCTGACCCTGTTCTGGGGACACAGCTCATGAGTCTGCTGCTTGCTAAAGGGGTGGCTCCAGAGTAGAGATGGCTGAGAGCAGGGAATATTCCAGAGCTTATGCCTTTGGCCAGATGCAGGTTTCTAGGCCAGACCTCAGGCTATCTGTGCTTGTATGTGGCTGGAAAATCCCAGATGAACCAGAACCACACACACACGCACACACACAGAGTCAACATTCTATCGGGTAAATCTACACACTAACCAAAAATAAATCTGAATATTTGCACAGACATTGGTGACTGAGTGGAATAGAAAACCCCCAACACAAAGTTCATACCAGAAATCAGCTCAAAGCGGAGGCTGCAGAGGAACTCTGTGCCCAGGGAAGCCAGGAACAGAAAGGGTATTGCAACACAAATGTGTGCCAGAGAAAGGGTGGCATGGCGGGGCGACCCAGAGAGGGAGCCATGTCTACCACGGTGTCCAGAGATACCCTCAGACCCACACCCCTCCATGATTCTTGTGTGTGCCTTGGCCACCATGGGCAAGTGCCCTGGGCTCACCCTGGCACTCCTGGAGACTCAGCACAGGGGATCAGCAAAACCATGTCACACCAACACTGCAAAATCGACTTCAGCGACCTGAAATGCAGGACCCAACACTTACCCCTTGCTGCTTTGGGACTCTTTATCGGCTTTTGCCCATCTCTGAAGCTAATCCGTTTCCCAGGGCAGAGGCCCTGGCCCAGGAGAATCACCCTCTGTATCAAAGCCCCATAGACGCTGGGGGTGGAGAGATGTTACCAGAGGGGCCACTTTCCTCAAAAAGATAAAGTCTCCCTGGTGTTCTCAAAAAGAAGGAAATCACAGAATCCAACTCTTTAAATGCAGATTTGTTTGACACAAATTATCTCTGAGCTTGATCTTTCAGGGGAGCCAGCGCTCCATCAATTAAAAGGCCCTCCTCCTTGGTCACGGGCTCTGGAAAATCTCCCCCCCTTGAAAGCATTTCAGGGCATTTTGAATATTTTGTTTTCACCAGATAAAAGCCGCTTTAGAACACAAAGGTCATAGTTTCTGTGATTCATCTTTTAAAAGGAGCCATGCTGGGTGTCTTTTTAATGAAGCCGTCCAGAAAAGATCAGGAGAAAACCTTTCCAATGGCCAGTGGAGGAAAGGTCAGTGACCGCAGAGGACCCTCCTCCTGGTTTACTTTGGGGCGCAATCAGTGAAAAGCTGTGTCTTGGCTTTGTGGCCAGGAATGTAGGTTATGGTTTTCTCCTCTCTAGAGCACAACAGTGGCCATTTACAGTGGGCCTACTGTGAGCTGGCACCTTCCCCCGAGTGCCCTCCGATGTCACAGCAAACCTAGGAACAGATGTTTTCTCCCCGTCTGCGGAGGAAGCTACATAGTTAGGGCTGCTGATTTGCATAGTTAATTGCAGACCTGAGATCAGAGCCTCCTGGCTCCTGGGCTCCAGGCCTGCTGGGCACAGATTCCTCACTGAAGTCACTGGGAGGTCCCAGGAGCTGCAGTTGGGTCCAGCGCAGATTGGTTTAACTCAAACCAGCCAGGCACTGTGTATCAGCAACTAGCCCAGCAACAGCCACAGACTCCTTCAAGGGTAAGAATAGTCCTTGGCTCCAAGGGCTCCAAGCACATTGGAAGATGAGCGCCCCCGCCCAGCGCTCCGCCAGCCGCCTTTGCACCCCCGAGGGGGTGGCCGTGGCAGGAGCTGCAGGGAACAGTGCAGCTGGGTTGGAGTGAGCACAGGGGTCATTCAGAGCAGGGTCAAGGCCAAGCCTCAGTTTTCCCATCGGAAACTTGGGGTGGAAATGATAACGACACCTATCTCAAGGAGCTGTGGTCATTAAGGCCATGGATACAGAGCAGAGGGAGCATCATTGCGCAGAGCGGCAATGAATGAGCGCTGGTCACTCCACCTGCAGGTAGGCGTCTCCTCTGAGACGCACCCGTTCAGCCTTGCCGACTTCAAGATCCTGGTGAGTCCACGGCACGGACACTACGAGCTCTGCAGAGCTGGCGTCTCAGCCACTCTCAGCCTTGACGACTTTGGTGCACATTAGTTGACCCAAAAAAAAATAGAGGACCCTGTGGCACTGAAAGAGAAGAACAAATAAAACGAGAAATCAAGTGGGGGTGGAAAGAGGCAGATGGACGGCGTTGAAAACGCAGAGAGATGGATGTCCAGGCTTCAGCTTTTGTTACCGAGTGCTGGCCGTGGACAGCTGGTCCTGCCACTGTTGTGGTGTGGATACAAGGAGTCCCTCAAGACTCCTGCTAGTGCAGGAATGTTCAGAGGTGAAGTGGCTGGACCGTGAGGGCTGTGACCCATCAGTCCCTGTTGTTTGAATGGATTAGCTGGGTGGAGCTGGAGGCAGGCGGGGAGAGGCTGCAGGAGGGGGTACCGGGGGTGGAGAAACCACTGGGCACAGAAGTCTGGGGTGGGGACCTCTGCCTAGTGTGTCAGTGCTGGCATTGGACAACAGCAGAGGCCACAGTGCCAACAAGGACGCCCAGCCCTTGGCCTCATACCTGCTGCTGCCCTTGCCTCGGTCACTGCCCTTTCTCTGAGCAAGGTCCTCTAAACCTCCCTTTACTTCTGGAAGCTTCCTCGCTGCTTCAATCAGCAGAAGTGGCTTTTGCATTCACCCTAGAACTTCTGACACTCCCCAGGAATCCTGGATGTGATCACACCCAGGTCAGTAATGTCAAGCAGTTTGGGCCCCACAGACCGTGTCCCCGCTGTGGCCCAGTGACTGTCTCCCACTTCACATGAGCTTGCTTATCACTGACACACACTCCCTCAGTCAACAGGAAAAATCGAGGGCCTTCTTGACACTGGTTCAGCTGATGCACCTTTGAATGGAGACTGAAAGCCTGGATTTGTATAGGTCTTAATCAGCCATTAAAGACATGCCTTATTCCACAAAACCCGATTTTCCTGAGACAAGCTGGAGGCTCCTTTCAAGGGCACACAGGGCTCACTGAATCAGGATGCAGCTCAGTCCTCATTCTGTGTCCGTACTGAGAAAGTCTTATTTTTCAGAACGTAATTATAATAATTGATCTAAGTGACATAATAGATGGGTTTTTGGCTTAGAGTCAAACCACAGGAAAGGGCTTATGAACAGAAAAGTGCAAATCTGTAAGCCCTTGGCTCTGGAGGTCATGAAAGCACCCAACCACCCAAAAGGACAGGGCCAGCCAAGAAATGTCACTCTTATTGCAGGAGATGAATCCTGATTTCCCTTCAGACTTGAGGGGAAGCTAGAAATTTCCCTTAGCTGCATCCAACAACTTCTCAGTGAAAGGAGACCATGAGGGAGTCCCAGATGCCAGAGCCAAGGAATGGCGGCCAGGGCCCCACCTTGAGTCCATGAGCTGAGACCCAACCCTAAGTCAGGGGTGTACGGAAGCAGGCTCTTCAGGAGGTGGCTAGGTTGTGGAGGAACAGCTCTCAAGAATGGGATTGGTGCCCAGAGGGACCCCGTGCCTCTCCCTCAGTGTGGGGGGGTCACAGTGAGAAGATGCTCCCACCAGGTGCAAAGGTACCAGTCTGCACCTCAAACTTCCATCCCCCAGAACCGTAATGGATTCGATTGCTGGTAAACCATCTGGTGAGTGGTGTTTTGCTGTAGCAGCCCAAGCAGACGAAGATAGTGGTCAAAGCCAGGTGAGGTGCTGGTGACGGTGGCTCTGGTCCTGGTGAAGAGCATAGGTGTAATCTTGTGGCACAGACTCTCCCACGAAGTAGTCGTTTGCCATCACAAAGATGCAGTTGGCACATGGCCGTGAGGTGGCCCCCATGTGTCATTGCAGTGACTCGTCCTCTGACTGTGGCTCCTCGTGTCTGCTGGCAGCCAAGATTCTCCAGGAGCCCTTCCTGGGGAAGGGACGACATACAGAACCCCGGCACCAATGCCCAGCTTCTGAGTTTACAGAGACCTTTGGAATTCACTGGAGAAACCAGTTTATTAAAAAAAAGAAGAAGAAGCCATGTGACTTGTAGACGCCAGGATCCTGAAGGGCCAGGGGAAGGACATTTTATGCCCTGAACAATAGTCTTGAAGAACATAAGAGAAGGTGAGGCCCGTGGTCCTGCTCTGTAGAGGAACGTTTAGACGTCTCAGCCTGAAGTGAGGGAGCACAGGAAGGAATCCCGACAGTCATGGGTCAGGGGTGTCGAGACGAGACACTGCACCCAGACTGCTCCTGTCATCTGGGGCCGAGTCATGCAGGTTGATGGGGGGGGGTAGTGTCACGTGTTGACTTGGTTGGGCCACAGCACCCAGTCGTGTGGTTACGCACCAGCCACTGTGAAGGCATTTTGTAGATGTGATCAGCATTTAAAACAGCACACTTTAAATAAGAAAAATTGGCCTCCTAGGATGGGTAGGCCCCATTCAATCAGTTGAAGGCCTTAAGAGCAAAGAGGAAGGACTTCTCAAGATGATGACATAAAAGTCCTGGCTGCGTTTCTGGCCTGTAGAACTTGATCTCAGGACTGTAATGATAATGCTCACCTGAATTTCCTGCCTATAGCAGCCTCCACCAGGACACACTCAGTCCCTAATAGTATATATCTACACGTAGGTAGGAATTCACAGGAAGGGAGATGTGGCCACAGGTGCTTCCCATTGGTTCTGCTTCTCTGAAAAACCCTAATGCAAGGTAAAGATGATACGTGACCCTCCCACCTGGAACAGCAGGGGGTTCCAAGAGCAGAGGCTTCCACCCACCCTGGACGGTACCAGGCAGGAGGGTGGGAGTGATGGCTGCCCAGCCCCATGTAGTTCCCGGAGATCACCCCTTCCTCACTTGCAGGATGCTGAAGGAAGTGGCAAGCAGTCTGCTGAGCAGACCTAGAAAGGTCTAGGTGGGTCAGGGATGCTTGATCTAATGAGACCTTGCGTGTCTCAGAAGCTCAGAGAAACGGACCTTGACATTTGCCATGACTTGAAGTGTCCCCCAACGTTCATGCATTGGAGTCTTAGTCCCTAGTGTCATGTTGATGGTGTTTGGAAGCTGAGCATTTGGGAGGTATTTAGGCTAGATAGGGTCATCAGATGGGGCCTCCATGATGGCATTGGTGAAAAGAGCCACCCGAGTCACACGTGGCTGCTCTTCCACCACGTAAGACACAGCAAGGAAACCCTCTCCACACCTCTGCTCCTTGGTGTTGGACTTCCTGGCCTCCAGAATTGTGAGAAATAAACTTCTTTTTATCCTTAATTGCCCAGTCTGGGGAATTCTGTTGCATCAGCCAAGAAGGGACTAACACAAGGCCTAAGGACAGAACAGGCCACCCTGTTCAGGATGTGGCTCTTTCTAAACTATCACCCCTGCATTCACACACCACTACAGGGAGGTGGGAAGCAGGCCCGGGCTGCC